CACTCCTCATTCAACGGAGATTCCGCTCAGAAAACCGGATGAGCCTATTTGGAAAACTGAACTTTGACATTTCACACAGGAAAATGTCAACATACGTCCATGAACGCATATGTCCTCCACTAATCCTTATCAATGTTTAATGGCTCTGGCTCTTCTTTCTTCTTAGATCCACTTGGGGTTGTTTGTGATGTCTCGGGTTTCTCTTTAGAAGCTTGATTGGTTGTAGACCTAGACATCCAATTCAAAGCATCTTGACCAAGTCGGAGACCACTGGCAATTTCTTGAGCGCTTTTTGCGTATTTCAGGTATTCGTTGGCAGCCTTGGCAAGTACGGCAGGATTGAGACCATAATAAGAAGTATCATAACTGATCAGGCCGATGATGCCAGGCCAGACAATAGTTTTGTGCAATTTGTTGGAAGAGTTTCAAAAGATCAAATGAGAAAATAGAGAGGCTGTTTTGAGCTGACAACTCGTGGTGTACATGACCTAGGTTGTGCAACATACCTGTGTCCCATAATAACAATATAAGTTCCCTGCGTTCCTCTGAGACTACAGCCTCAACTTCGGATGTCTTGACTGTTAGCCAATCCAAGAATAATTCAGACACTTTGGCCGGAGGAGAGCAAAATCAGATTGTCTCCACTTAAGACCAAGAAGAACCACCTGGTGAATGGTAAGGCAAGATAGTACAGACTAGAGAGCCGCAGGTATTGTAGGCTGGATAAACAATCAATTTGGTTTGATTATTGGACTAAGTCTCTGAGCAAAGGAATTTGATTCATTCAGGAAATGTTGTCAATGTGTCATCACCACTGTTGTGATAAAAATCGACAGCATACGATTGAAGTGACCACCATATAGGAATGTGAAGTTGAGATCTGGAAATATCACAATTACCCTTTGAATCTATGGCCATTACTTCAGTGAGCATATCAACTCAAATTCTTTGTGTATTCGCACAAATAGCTTTTTTTACCCTCCAAATTCGTTTCGTTCCAATAAATTCCATCAATTTGGTAAATGAAGTGAAATATTGTCATTGAATAAACCGTTCATCTAACTCCATCTGTCTGACTCATGATTTGGAAAAGACTCGAAGTAGGCTTTCCGAAAGCTCAATACAAGGCATTTATGAACGGCTCATGATTTCCAAACAAAGAAAGAAATGTGCACAATTAGTAAACTAGTTATATTGGACCAAGAATCTGTGAAGTACATATATACATGAATAACCTTTCAGTTGTGAGGATGAAGGTGAGAGTAAAGTTACAAAACCCCAAAAGTTTGAAATTTGCCTAGTATCTTGACCAATATCAAGGTATAATTGTAGTCATGACTTTGTCAAATATTATGTCAGGAAGATGATACCGAGATAGGTTTTTCATCTTCAGAACCAACAGCTCTTGATGAATCATAACAGGTTCTGAACCACTTGACAAGACTGTGACACTTTGAATGTTGGAATGAGTGAGGAATAGATTTCTGGAACAAGATCACTCATAACATATTCAGCATGAGATTGACAAATGTGTCATACTATTTCTGAAAGAAACTGCTTACATGTTTCCAGTGACTGCCAAGAGTCCATCAATTCCCTAACTCATTTTCAAAATATACCAACAGGAAAATGCTTATAACATGTGTATCTGACTTCAGAAAAGATTACCCACCAAAATGATTATCATCCACCATGATGGCTCATAAAGGAAACTATAACTTTGGAATTTCAACTAATCATATACTTTGTAAGCAATCCTAACTTGAAAAAAATCACGAAAAAAATCCACTTACCGTCCAAATAAGGAAAGGCACATTCCATAGCGTACAGATGCAAGCCAAGAAAGAATGTATCATCAATGATCCTCTCTGACTTCTAAACAAATCATTTGCGCTACTGTTTTGATGCATTCCTTTGAAAATATGGAGAAGGGTTGGAGGGTACACCAACCTTAGTTTTAGTCTCAGTTTCAATCTTTTCAATTGTTTCTTGGGCAGTTTCAAGTGAAGCTTTTACATCTTCCGTTTTCTTGAAAATTAAATTCCTTTCACTCATAGCTAAATCTAGTGGTCCTTTTGAGTAGTTACTTGTGCTTCCCATGGTGCAAGTTCTGCTTGATTAACTTCGATTTGATCGGCAAAGACTCGAGTTTTAGGAAAAAATCCATTTCCATTGATCAGTCATCCATCTTGAAATGATTTGCGACTTAAATTGTGAATTGAATGACTTACCTTTCAACAAATCTCGAATGTGGTCAAGTTCAGCTTGTTCTTTCTCATTCAAAGCTTCCTTTACCTCTAATTCAGCACATAATTTTTCTCCTTCCGATTCACTGTCTCTAGTATTAGCAATTGCAGCCTTCAATACATGCTCATCCTGTAATTCAAAATTTGCAATCAGTGAGTAAATTTTTTTGAAAACATTTCAGTCGTTTCACTTTCCACTTCTTTATACTTTCCTTCTTCTTCTCCTAATGATTTCTCAAGTCGTTCATTTTCTAAAATAGCCACTTCATTCTTTCGAATATTCTCTTCAATCTCTTTTAAATGCTCTTCTATTGATAATTCAATTGTTCCTATATTCTCTTTTGCATATAATATTGCTATGATTTATTTTGTCATTGAATAAGTAAAGTTGTTCTAGCTAAATAATCATTGGCCAATTTCTTTCTCACTTCAAGTGCTTAGAATTATGACTAAGATTGTTGATCGGATTTGCAAACGTATGTGAAGGTATTTAATTAAGTACGCTCAAGATTTGATGAAGTTGCTTTCTATTGAGTGGGTCCATGGATATTTATGTATTAACGGCGTAAATTGATCTCAGGGATTGGTTTCCCAGGTTTCCCGGTCAGCCAATGGTCCGACAGGAGAACCGACATGAGGCACCGAGCCGGAGGAGAGATATCATTGAAGGTGTGACACAAGTGTTATGTGTGTGTCAGATTGTGAAATTTCTGAGTCTCAGCACCTGAGACTCAGTCTTGGGCCTCTTCAATATCCCTATGTTCCCTAAAATTTAGAGGATTTGCTGAACATGCAGGGCTGTTCATTGGGACTTCTTGTGCTAAGGTGGTGGAACCATGCATATCTGAGCCGCTCAGATGGAAATCAATTGCAATGCAGGCTGGAGACAACTGCAAGACTCCAACCCCCCTCAACGTCAAGGGGGGATCTGGCAGTCCTTGTGAGAGGTAAAATCCAGGAACAAGGAATGATTACTTGTGGTAAGTTTGGTCTATTGATCACTTTCTGGAACCTGGGTCAAAATGTCTAACAATCTGAAACTGTTAACAGATGGGCAACCATTGGATACTCTGCCAAAAATATCCGGTCAAAGTATGATTGCATCAAAGGAAGTACTGGTAGGTCCTGCACCAAGCAGTATCCAAAATGATTTGCCTAATAAGCAATGTTGTCCTTCCAGTCTGCCTATCATATTTTCCCAGTCTATCCAATTCATATCATGTCATCTTCAGCCATCAATATAGCAGCCAACTCTTCCAAAGAAGGTGGATTCAATTTGACACCTGAGCTTGAAACAATCTAAAAACCTTCACCCACAACAATGTGCAGTTTGAATAATTATCCTTGGACATCTACTGCTAAAATGCTGAACAATCACTCAAAACAAGTTATGAAACAAACTAAAATTGGAGACCAAACGGTTTTTCCAGTGAATCATAGGGTCCAGAAGTTGGTCTTCTTGAAACCTTTCAAACAACCAAGCAAATCACTACCAGTCAGGAAACATGAAGCCTCAAGTTCAGTCTCCAAAGGATACCAAAAAGATCTCATATCATTTCACAATATCAATTGGTTTCAAGCCCAAAACAGTGGTTTGTTTATTGATCTAAGATTTGCAGTGTCTTTGCACTGATCCTGACCCCTTGGTTTTTAGTGATTCATGAAGACATCTCACCAATAAACACTGATGTTGCCAAAAAATACAGCTGCAAAACCAATTGGCCAAACAATATCAAGTCTGGTGTCAACATCTTCCAGGAAGAAATGCTGAACAAAGACAAGGGTGTGTGGTGCAATTGCTTGAACTTCAAGGACTTTATTGTAATTATATTTTGTTTTACTTGTTGCACAACCAGTCACTGTGTTAACGGAACAGGTTGACATTCTCAAAGAAAAGTTTCATTATGTTGAACAACTTCAGAAGGATCAAGTATGTATTCTTTGGACAGAATTGAAAGTAGCGTGTGAAAAGAAAGACTCTCTTGAATGAGATCTGGCTGTGGCTCAAAAAGTTTTGTGGGCCCACTTATTCATGTTTTGCAGACCAAGCAATCACATCTGACTGACACTACCAACCAGTGTTGTTCCAATTGATTTTTGTGGATCCCTCCACATCTACTACTCATCTTACAAAGCTTGCCAAACTTTCTGTGCCAAACTGCTCAAGCTTTGCGGGAAAACTTGGAACAATTTATGGGAGCAAGGTTATCAAGGTATAGTACCTATACAGAAAATTGTGATAAATTACATGGATCTCATGACTATCAAAAACTTGAAAAGTGCACATATCATCAGTCCAAAAAACCAAGGAGCAGAAGAATAAAATGGGGATCTGGACAGTCTCTTTACATCATTCTTAGTCTTCCTCCAAGATTATCAAACTGTTTACCATTGAATCTCATAGAGAAGATGCAAACATGATTTGCACTTTGAAACCTGTTACAAGAGGGTACCTCAAAAAAAGGTATTGAAATCAATTCAAGCTGTACAAAGAGATAATCAACCATTGTCACATCTTTCATTGAATATCGTTAATTTTGTTAACAATTATACCAATAGAACAGATATCACTGACAGTAGTCACATGATACAAACAACCCAAATCATGGTGCCAAAAATGGTCCTAGAGGTCAAACCCCCTGCACAAATATCAACATAGTAAGCAGAAATTAACAATGATGCTGATGCATGTTCATTATAACCAGACTGGATCTACCACTGCCCACATACAAGACCACCGTCTACATCATTCAATCTTCACAGTGGTGCGCTCCGGATTGTATCTGCCATCACTTAATCTTTGAACAACAAACTCCATGCCCTTAGCCATCAAGCATTCACGGGACGTTCCATTTTGTGGCCAGCTGTCATGCTACATTTGTCTCCACCTTGAGCCCCAACAATGGCTATCCTGTCCGTGCCGATAACACCACCATCCCCAAACTTGCATGTCATGGGTACTCCCCTTTTTGGGACCAAATCTACCCAACATTCTCACAGTTACACTCAGTCGGCATTCAATGTCCAAGCTTTGAACCACAATCCCACTCTACCAAAGTATAACTACTGCACCTATCACCTCTTCTTTGTATTTGTACCCAGAATACAATCAAACAGCATATGCTACATATCCATCATAATCCTTCCATTGTACACCAACACTCCCGGTTTAGCATTGGACACCCACACTCCTGTTTTTCCGACAACCGGTGAGCCTCATCCATCACTTTTTTGTCCATCAACAACTTAACTCGTTTACAGGCGTAACTTATGCACTTCACGATGCAATCCAATACCAGTTTCTAATATGTCAACATTCCCGATTGTTGTGACCCCTATGACGTCTCCTCAATCCTTGCCCGTGGAGGTTGTTGACTTGATTGTCAACCAAGTGATTCTTCAAATCCCTGTTATCCCTTCCAACGCTGTGAACAGTGCCGAAATTCCATCACATCACCATGCATACATTGTACAACTTTTGCAATCACGCTCACTGGGCTGATCTTGGAACAATGTGATTGTGCCCCTGGTATTTGAAAGTTTACCGTTAACTTGTAACCCTGGCACCAGCAGCTTGACAAGAATTTGGAGTCAGTGCTTTCTGACCCCAGGCTATCCTCAAGTTTGTCATCTTTATCTTGCCGGGATTTGGTTCACGCTGCCCTCCTTCAAGTTGTTACCTGGCACCGTGTCAACTTGCTCCACATTGTCCTATGCATGGTCAATCTTACTGGAGACCACCGCGGCTATCATTACCTTATGCGGATCTACTTTAATCACATTGAAATGATGTTTCATTGAAATAGTCGGGTTTTCCCCTGTCTTTGTCAGTGCAATACACCAAGTTGTGAACCTACAAACACTTGTAATCCAAGGTTCCGCTTCTTCCAACGTGATTCACGATCACAAATCTGTGAAGACCCTTTTGGAAGGCACTGAATCTTTCCAATCATTAACCATCAGATCCGCATCACTACCATCACTACATCTTAGGCCGGGTTCTCTCTCAAATCTAACACACTTTTATGTCACATGTTCCCGCAAGAATCATCACGCCACTATGAATATATGTCGCGGAGAGGAACGGCCAATCAACACCCTTGAGCTATATCTGCCAAGTAATCCTGATCCATCAGCCTTTGTCGCTCTTGGTCTTACTGCAACACTCAAAATCATTTTTATAATCTCAATTCCCGACCGTGCCCCACATGCTATGCAAATTCATGTCTTCCCAAAGCTCAGAATATTACAAAGTGAGTATTCACATTTGAAAACAGAAAACCTCAAGTGGCTCAGTTGGCCTATGCTTGAAACCGTCGAAGTCCTGGTTGCTACCTATTTGTCGGACAACCTTTATTGACGTACTATGTTGGAGGAAAATCATCCTGCAACTTTCACCGTGCTACCCAACTTAAAACACATTGTCTTCACAACCGCCAAGAGTGATCAAATACAAGATCAATTCTTAGTTAACGCTTTTGAAACAATTGGGATTAAATGCCACTTCTTGCCCCCAATGAACACCGTTCCGGTTAGGGTAAGTACCTTCAGATATCTCTGGTTTTACTGTTTTAAAACAAACATCTTTGATGTCTCCAGGGCCTAGCTAATTGACTCAGGGGAGGACATCTCCACCCCATATGGACTGTGTTGCGCAAGACCTGGACTGACCACTTTACACGTGGAGTATATTCCTGCATCACAGCCTATGAGAAAGTTGTATCACCTTGATTTGTACCAGTATCTATCTATGCTTGCTATATGCTTTACAAATCAAGATAAACTCCCACTTAAGCTTGTGTCCTCTCAAGAAGCTTGCACGCAATCTCATAAAGTGCAGCTACTGTGGCATCAAACAATTCCGTGTGTTACCATTATTGTGCCTAATGGACATTTGTGTGAGCTACTAGCTTCTTTTAGGCTAGCAAATAACTAAGGAAAATGTATAAACTTGTAGGGATTATGATCTACAAGGTTTAAAGGCGGAGAAATAAGGTTCAGGCTCTATACTTGTAACAAACAAGTATAGACTGCAGTTAGAGGACCTTTAAAGAAAGGCTTTTCAGGGATTTGGGTGAGGTTTTTACTAGTATCAATAGTAGAAACCGTGCACTGAATCTTCAGTGACTTACACGTAATCAAGGATCGTTCTGCTAGAAATAAATTGATTAAGAACACTAAGTTCTCTTATAGTGTTTTAGTACTTTACACTCTGACTAATAGAGGTACTACACAGGTTTAAAGCTTCTTGATCTGATTAAATCCTAAATCAGATCAAGCAGCACTTAAGGACTACCTCCTTTATAGTTTGATTCCACGAATGGTAATCAACAACTATTACAAAACTGTGACTAAGACCAGTCACAGTAAATTGGGAAATAGGAACCACAAGACAAAGATAACAATCACAAATAAGATAGTAAAGTTTCACTTTACTGAAAGCTTATAATCTAGTTGGTGATGAGGTTTTATTGTATAATAAAAATGTTAAAGATGTAATGTGATGATGATTCTGAATTTCGCATATTCAAGGTTTTTATAGTCTGAAGTTTGAAAATCCTATGCGCACAATTTGTGGTTCCAAGGTTAGGTTTATACTACATATTTGTATTGACCTATCTACTTGGTTACATATATGTTACATGTGTGTAATGTATGTAATCTTTTGGGAAATGTAAAGTCGTGTACTCACACAGTCTTTTACAAAAGTTTTACATGTGTTACATATGTTAATTCATATGTAATTTGACTCTTGAAACTGAGTCTGAGTTGTAATTATTGTTTTTTTTAATGTTTTCCTATTGTTATTTGTCAGCCTATGGTACTATGGTTCAGTACTCAGGGCTGACAATTTGGGTGCCTCCCAAAAGCATTATTCCCAATTGCTCCAGTACATCTTGAGGGAATGGGGACCCAAAGCTTTTCCCCAAGCTTTGCGGCACTCACAGCTGGTATTTCACTTCTTCAGTGGGTGAGTGTACCAATGTGTGGTATGGGGGGTTTGCTTCATTGGCAAGAAATATGCACCCTATCTGTTTTCACTTTATGATGGAAGATATGATTGACAGATGAAACGATCGGCTCATCAGGAGGTTACACAAAAGGAACAACATCACATTCTTGGGAAACTTATGTCTGTGATTGAAATCATCCCAGGCATTGGTGCAAAGAAAATATTGTCTGTCATATTGTTCTGTGACTACATTGTACTGTCTTTGTTATTAGTCACCATGTATTGGGTCCACCTTTTCAATCCATATATATCATCTCATGCATATCAATGATTTCATATGTTATGTTTATGTTTGTTTGAAATTGAGGGACCTAATAAGTTCCTTTTTTCTCTTGCAAAGTTCCTCAAGTGTGGTCCCTATCACTTTGCTGCTGGTGTGTCTGTCTGAAAGTACCCCGGTGGGTGTGGTGTGCGATCCAACAGGTGAGTGTTTTCTTGATTCAACAGTTTAGTGAAATGTAAATCAATGATAGTCTTCTCAGATGCACTAGGAGAAGTGCAACAGTGAAAGTGGTAGTTTCTGGGTGGGTGAAGTGCTAGGGGCGAACTTATAATTCAACGCATAGATGATACCATCTGTGTCCCTTGGGGAGCCTGAGGTAGTGGCTTCCGGTCGCCAGTTATAAAGGATTGGCGGTGCTGGAGGAGGTGACTCCACACTTTCTTTGCGTTTGTCTTTGCAAGCCTGCTTCAGAATAGATTCCGGGTTGTCGAGGTAGTTTTCTGGCTTGTGGGATTGCGCACCACTCATTTGACACAAGATAAGGTTTGTGAATCAACAGTGTTTCAATACAGATTAAAGATTGACAGTGGTTTACAGATTCATTGAATTGCTGATTCGTATCTAAGTACAACTGCTATACTGGTGACTGATTGGCTGATGGCAGATAGTAATCTTTGAAAAGAAAATCAGAGATTCCGGAGTGTTTTGAAGTAGTAACTTAAAAAAGTGTAAGGTCTTTCAATGACCTTCACTGAAGACATCAATTTCTCTGATGAGACTCTCTTGAAAGCGCTGAGTTAGGACTTATGTTTGTATTCAGAACTGAGGCCTAGCTCCAGATAATCCCAGGAGTGGCTCTCAGAAGAGTCAGTCTACTAACAACAGAGAAAAGAACCCAAAGAAATCAAGGAAACTCACCTAGCTCCAGATAATCCCAGGAGTGGCTCTCAGAAGAGTAAGGATTATCCAAAGCTAGTGTGGACGGGGAAATGTATATCCAGTCTATCTAAACCCATCATCTCATCCCATAGCCTAATGCCTCTACGTCTATACATGTACCCTTACAGTCACTCTTTAGATCACCGCTAGCAGACATCTCCACCAAATGTGCCTAATTGGTGTATACCAAGAAAACATAAGATCAAACAACAAAAGAAATGCAGAAACGCTCAAGACTGAGACCAAACATCCAAACCCCTAATCTTGCATCAACTGATCCCCAATTGTATCAAACTCTTCTTCTTCATTGTCATCTTCATCTTTGTCAGGGGTTTAATCAAACCATCTTTGCTCTCTTCAGACAGATCACCCCAGTCCCCAGCAGCAAAGAACTTGTTACTGACAGCTGCTTTATCTTCTGCATTGCTCCCTTCACTGGGAGCCTGTAAATCAATTGAGTCCGACATATCTTCTTGATTTATAGGTCTGTTGGCAAAACCTGGACCACTGAAATCTTTGGTTTCAGAGTCACCAGCCAGCGCGTTGATTACATATGGTGTAGTCAGGCAACAGTGATACTTCTTGTTAAACTCACGGCCAGATAATTTTTCCACTGGATGGGTGTTGGGAGCAGGAATGAAAGATTCGGCGGCATTTGGTAATAAAGCAACTTACTTACAATTCACCATCTCTTCCTTTTGTGAAGAAGTCAGAGAATTGTACCTGCTAGATTTGTAATAATTGATTGGAAGGAGCAACAGAGGAGATTTGAACCTGCAAGGGACAAGAACCATTGGTAGTAATTGAGGTTGACACTGAGGAGCCTTGCCAGACGTGGTGTCAACACAATTCATCATAGAATCCAATCTTTGGATAAATTTGTTGGCGTTGGCAGAGCGGTATTCAAGAGTCTTGATGACATGGACTTGAAGATCAAGGTCAAGCTTGCCATCGCTGTGAGCGTAGGGTTGTTTGAGGATGAGCAGGTAGCGTTTTGCAAACTTGTGCTTTTCAGCAAATTGCAGGCAAGATGTTGCTAGCGGAGCATTGAATAGAATGAGACATGTGTAAGTGGTTTGAGAGAAAGTATGCTGAGAGGGTAAATATGTACTCTTTGACGACGTGGGATAGGGTTTTGATGCACTCAGCCTCAACCAAACAGCCAGGAGTGTTGACCCCTCTCTTGACATTGCCCGTGGATAGGTAATGCACGTAGTGGTTGTAAAAATTTTTAGGAAGGGCAATATTGTCCACAAGTGTGGGATTGACCTGGAGATATCTATAGCAGGGGCCGATTGAAACTTTGTGGAACGTTCGGATAGCGATGTATTGGTTGGCCGTGTTGAAGAGTGCATCATGACTTTGTGTTAAGTCAGGGCCCCTGACAGATAGCCCAGCCTTTGAGAGAGCCACGTGAACCATGAGGATGGCTTGCTGATCCAGAGTAATCATCCCCCGGGCAACTGGGATTTGGCGCATCCTCAGTGTCATTTTACTACTCACTGGCACGCCAGTGAGTATGTCCAGCTCAATCCAATCTCAATCCAATCTCAAATCCATGTCAGTTCAATATCAATCCAATCTCAATATTTGGCCTAGAGTAGCAGACAAACGGCCTTCCAGAATGAACTGGAATAAAGTTTGGTTGCATGTCCACACATGAAGGTGTCAGAATGTCTGGGAGGTTTGAGAGATTATGCAGCCCATGCATATCCCCCACTCAAACATGATTGGAGGTCAAACTGATATTGAACTGACATTGAATTGAGATTGGATTGAGTTGAATGGAACTCACTGGCCTGCCAGTGACTAGTAAAATTACACTGTGATCTTAGTGTCACAGAGAGTTTGAATCAGAGACATAGAAATGATGCTGGGAGTTCTGGCGTGCTCAATTGCCCTGGTGACTGCTCTTAGATTGGTATAGGAGCAAGCCAAAAAGTCCATGCTGCCTTGATAAGCAGGTGGCGGAACAGGCTTCACTTCCAACATACCCCAAAGAACTCAGATATGAATTTGGAAGGTGTCCTAGGGTTTAAAAAGTTAACACGTGTATGTAAAGTAGGCAATAAAAAAGACCACATTACCTCGTTCTTTCTGTGGCCCAGTGGGTGTTTGGTACTGAACACTTGATGGGGACGTCTCCTTGGAGGGTTTGTAGATGAAGGTTTTGATGCACAAGTGGTGGATTTGGTCCTTGATAAGCTTGGGGGTGGCTCTGAAACAGCCCTGCTAGGGCCTTTGACCGGTGTTGCAGTGCTGATGTTGACAGCCTTTTGGGGAGTCAACTTCTTAGTAGGAGCAGGTTGTGAGGTGCTAGCGGTTGGATTGGCAGTTGTGTTGATTGTAAGGTCTTCCAACTTAGACAGTAGTTTTTCTATCATGAAATCTTGAGCTTCAAGCCTTGCTTTGTATTTCTTGTTTTGAGCTTCCAGAGCCTGAGCTAGGGCAGCCTGGATGTCGGGGTGAGAAGTACCAGTACTAGTAAGTTGTTAGGAACTGTTCAGGGTTGTTGTGGTGAACTATAGACATGATGATTTAGAGTAAATGAAGCAATGTACAAAAAGAGGTGATGTACAAAGAGAAAAAATCAAAAAAGTAGTAAATCAAGAATTTGTTAGAGACTAGTTGAACAAAGTGGGTTTGTGGGAATGGGTGAAGGAAGAGTTGAGTGAGATCCTCTAATACTGCAATTTGCCTGATTCTTAGGAGGTGAGCAAGACTGGATGTTTGTGGACATTGAATTGTCCGAGTTCCAAGCTCCCACTCAAGCTCCAAGACTTAGACCAATCTAGACTAGATCGTACGTTCTTGGCAGGCAAGTGGTGGTGATTAACCGTCTTAGTGGAATTGTAATCTCATTTGGACTAGGTTGGATGAGTCAATGGCCTACGTAAACCACCTGGCTCACTTCAATGACCCATTGGCTTGCGTCAAGCCCGGTTGTGAATTTTGGTTGGCGTTGTCTTGGGGCCAACCTGCGGCTCACGTCACGTTGGTGCCAGCTGGGCTCACGTCAATGTTTTTCAGTGCTAGTGTTAAAGGCAGCACTCTAGTATGTATCTCAGTTAGCACTGAGGTCATGGGTTTGAATCCCATCAGACACATAATTACATTTTTGATGTTGTTAGGTCACTTTGTTGTTCTCAATGTGACTGGCGGAATAGCTGTAGTCTTACGCCGGAACCTGTGCCCTCAGCTTTAGTAGTGTCTTATCGAAACGAAGCAATTTTAATCAGGCCTTCCTCTTACGTGTTGTGGAGATCAAATTCAACAATGTTATCCATATTCCAGTTTTTCCATTCATTTCACTTTGAGATCAGGGATCATCATCGAAGTTCCAACTTTTATCTGAATTGCTATACCTTTGTGATCATGAGTTTTTTTCTTGTTCTTTCTTTATTTATATATCTCACTCACTTTTCAAATCTACTCTCTACTCACTGCATCATGGTACAAAATTTATAGAACATATATAAATATACAAGCAGAGATTTGCAAAACCTCACATCAGATTGTTATCATATCCATTTTCTTTCATTACATTATCTTGTTACAACTTCAAAGATACATTTGATAATATACATGTTAAACACATAAAAAAAGACACACTACAAGAAGGGATCAAATAAGAGAATAAGTCAAATAATACATACCTTAAATACAAGCTAGAATACAAAATCTCAAGTTAATAACACTACAAAAAATATAATCTTTACCGCACGCAATAGAAAAGGAATGATGTAAGGACGAGAGCAAAAAATTCAAAAAAATATGTATCTTGTTGCTAGATATTGGGGCGTCATGATGAGTATTTTTTTGTATTTTCCACACAGATATTGATTAATGTACTAATGAAGATTAGAAATCATCAAAAACCCACCTGTAACAATACCTGAAATTGGTAGTGTTCAGGAGCCTGAGGATGTACAATATAGTCCATTCCTGAGAAAGAGAGGAGTGACAGGTGTGGGTGCAATCTCACATAGATGTCATGGGAGCTGTGACATCTGTGTGTGGTGAATTTGGAAGAAAGGATTGAGAAGGGAAAATTTTTTTCTCCCAACAATCCTTCCAATTTCACCCTTCCACTCTCTAGCACCGCATCCTGCACTCCTCCTTGGGTAAGTGACTTTTGAAGAGTATACCACAACTCTTAGAAAAGTCAGTCAAAAAACCCACCCGCCTCCCGGGTTGAGAAGTCAAACCTTCTCAAGCCTATTCTCGCCCAAGGGGGGTAGATCTCAAATTGAGTTTATTGTTTTCTCGATTTGGGGTCCACTCCTCTTGGGACCCCCCCACACCACGTATAGGTTATTGAGTCTCTAGAGGGACAACGTAATCTAGGTGGATGGATATGCTCGGGTAGTTTAGGCAACTCAACTCTGAAATGTACTTGTACACTGAGAGGTGTGAACATAGAGAGATTCCTCAGGTCTCTCCTCACCTTACCTAGAACTACCATCTTTTGAATAAGGAATGGATTTGGCCCATGATTTTGAAGACTGGATTTTAAATACTTCCAACAGCAATAAATTCTGTAGGTCTGAAGCAAATCACTCGGTTTTAAGTTCATTGAGAAGGTGAGTCCTTTCTCTACAATTGTCATTCTGACGTCACATCTTTAGCCAATCTGCAAAAGATTCTACATAGGTATCCATATAGACTTGTTTGAACAAATATGGAGTGTTTACCTGAAAAAATAACACCTGACTACCTTTATGAAGTGTGAAGGAGAATATTTCAGCGGTTGAATAGACCAAAAATTGAGCTATTTGGAGTAGAATTGCAAAGGTTCTTGATGTTGAAGATCCAAAAAACCTGTCTTCAGAAGCAAAGTCATGGCCCAAATTTCAGGTATTGTTACAGGTGGGTTTTTGATGATTTTCAACCTATATTGTTGGTACATTAAACAATATATATGAGTAAAATACAAAAAAATACTCATCATGACACCCCAATATCTAGGAACAAGGTGCTTATTTTTTTTAGATTTTTAGCTCTTTTCCTGTTGCCTCAGGAATTTTCCAGATCATTAGTTGACTTTTCCGCCTGGTGGAGGTTATGTTTGTTGTAGTGTAAGAGGCTTAATTTTGGGGATCTAAATCTCAAATGTCTAAAAACAAGGGTAGTGCTGAGATTGAAATGATAAACTTGATAGGAGGTTAGATTTTGGGGTTCTAAGTTAAAACATAGAATGAAGTGATGTCAGTGTTATGCAAGACAAATAGTAGAAAGAAAGTTAAGAAAAGAAAAGACTTACAGATCAAGATCAAAGGTCAAGATCGAAAATGAAATTGAATTGAACATATGAAGCTCAAACAATGGTGATACTGTGAGTATGGGTGACATCAAGATCGAGAAACAAAGTCAAGATCAAAAATTAGGACTAGGAGTCACAAGGAGAGTAGTGGCTGATGTTGATTTCAGTAGTTAAAAAGAAGGAAATAGAGGGAAACTTACTTACATAATGATTAAAATCAAAATTGATTGACTTGAGGTCTTGCTTGATTGATTGTAGGATAGTGACAGAGGCACAAGGAATTATCCCCGTCCATGTCACGTCTCAGGAAAGACCTGAGGAACACAAGGGATGTCTTACACAAGACTGCCTCAGATACGGTTAAGAACAAGATCCCGGGCTTACCTCAGCAGGTCGGCCCTGGCAAATTGTGTGAGTGCCTTGTCAGAGACTCACCTCTCCTCTTTTGTGTGTTTGAAATTCCCTTCCTGAATTTCATTCTTGCACTCTTCTCAGTTCTCACGCTTCCTAGGTCCTTTCCCCAAGCGGGTAAAGATCTCTCCTCTTTTCTTCAAACCCTATCACTCTTCAAGATAATCACGAGATCAAGTAGAAGGAACAGAGGACTGTTACCTGAGTTTACTCCAGCACCGACTCCACCAACTTCTCAAATTAAAATTGAATATATTACAAAAGAAGAACAAGAGGAACAACTTACCTCAAACTGAATTAGACAAAGATGTAGATCAAGAAGAAGAAAACACCATGGTTCTGGAAGACAAAGATATCAATTTAGATGAATTCAGTGTTAGCGAATCATGAATACTAGCCAAATTGGGCGGCGGGCGCCGCACTCACAGAAAGGTCTTATCTTGGTCCAATTCACATAGCATGCTACGGGATCTGCTGGATGATATATCACTCAAGGAGGAAAGCTTCTACATAGTCAATTGGTTGAATTACAGCACAGTAGAATCCATTTCAGTGTCTTGTCAAGATTACTTAATATATTACAAGTGAAACAATGCCAGACTAAGCATATTGTTCTTCCACTCCAAGTTGCTGTTTTGGTTACACCAGATCCATCACTGAGGTGTAATTCACGGAAGTCATGGAGATACTCCAATCCCCATTCAATTGGTCCGTTTTTGTGTCTGATAGCAGAGTCATCTTGAAATGAAGTGTAGACACTGCAATATAGATTTCTATGGCTCAGATTAAATCAAAACCACTATATTTACCAATACTTTGGCATGATTCAGTTCAGATCTAGAGTGAGACTGTAGGCCATGATCCTTGCAAAAACTCCTCTAATTCTGGATTCTGAAGACTCTTCATATGTGTATCAGTTCATTTGTATGATACTCAACACCACACGGACATGGTGATGGTGATAATGATCTGTATTTACACAAAGTTGGTTGTGTCAACATTAAATTGTTGCTTTAAAAGTTGTTTCTGCTTCTGGTTCTTGATCATTCATATTGATCAGAATGAATGAAAAAATATGAATCCACTCATCTCTTGGCTTCTGTAAACATGGATGCACTTTGTGTCTAAAACTGGCAACAATGGGAGTCAAGAGTCAAAACACTGATAATCTTATTGCATTCTCGTATATTCATAAATGGTTGTAGCATGTTTTGACTCATTGGAACCATGACTACTGGTTGATGTCATACTTGGTTGGGTGAATGGAATCCAGGTCTGAAAGATATGGCAGACATCATTCTAAATAAAAACCTTGTATATGATGTTGAGCCAAGAAATTGGGCAAAACTGAGACACTCAAATATGTGCATTCAGGTTGAGTGATCAGGCTTGCATAATATTTGCAATCCCAAGGATAGATAATTCAAGTGGGATTGTGGATAATTAGTATCTGGTGGATCAACCTCTCTCAAACCTGGTTGACCAAGTCAAATTTTTGGCTTGCAGCTGTCAATAAATGTCAACTTGATACACAAAGTTACTGCAAAAAAGTCAGCTGGTTCAACTGGTTTTTCTAAAGCGGGTCAGGTTTGAGAGAGGCTATCAACTTGACAATGGCAACAAAGAAAAGATCCGAACCAAACTTTCAAGATTTTGAATGTAAAAATATCTAAAAGTTTATAGTTGATTGATTTGGCTCAACAGATCCAT